ATACGGTGTGCATGAATAACCACAGTACAAAACAGAAGGTTGTCAGGTACCACAAGTAAGAAATAAAAGGCTATGGGATCTCAGAAAAATTAACATTTCTGATATGGTAGGACTCTGTTAAAATTGGGCCAGAATATAAACGTTTTAGAAACGTTATGGCAGTATCTATTCAAGTTGACCAAGTACACATTCCATGACAAAGCAATTCTACTCCTAGCTAAGTATACCAAACAGAAATGTGTACACATATCCACAAAAGACATGAACTAGAATGTTCATAACACCACTACATGTAAAAGCCCTAGGCTGGAAACTATTCCTATGTCTGTCAATGGTAGCAGAGATAAGTAAAATTGGATATCACAATGGAATATTATTCATCAATGCAATAAAAGATGTACATGTAACAATGAATGAATCTTCAAAATATAATGAAGAAAAAGCCATATGCAAAAGAGAATGATTCAGTTAATGTAGGATATAAAACTCAGTAACTCAGTCTAAACTTCTATGCTGTTACTAGTCAGAATAGCGATTGCTGGGTGGCGGGGAGGAGAGGGGTGTGAAGAGGTCACTACTGTAGGAGAGTACATGGTGGAATGTCTAGGGTGCTGGGTACATGACCATCTTCAGCTTGTAAAAATTTGTCACACTGTACACATTTATGATATGTGTACTTTGTCTATTTTACCTCAATAAAAAGTAAAAAAAGGGGTGTAGGGGACAGGAGGGACAAGAAAGGAAAAATACTACATAATACCAGTTAAGTAAACTATTTTGTATAAGAGAGTCAGTTCATGTATCACCTTTGTGGGAGAAATAACCTTACTGGTAAATACAGAGTTGGGAAGACCTTAAAAATTAGGAGGTCCTACCCTATAAAATTGCTGCAGGAAAATGTCTGTAAACCTCCAGTGATGAGCATTAAATACCTTTCTCAAAGACAGTCATTTCATTTTTGATGGGTCTGTTAAAAAGTTCATCCATCACCTTAAGTAAAAATTTGCTTCTCAATTTGAGCTTACTGTCAATTCAACTGCCTGAGTTATTTTAGAAAACACTGCTCTGGCTGGGCGTGGTGGCTCACGCCTGTAATCCTTTACTCTGGGAGGCTGAAGAAGGTGAACTGCCTAAGCTCATAGGTTCGAGACCAGCCTGAGCCAGAGTCAGACCTCATCTCTGAAAATAGCTGGGCACTGTGGAAGGTGCCTGTAGTCCCAGCTACTGGGGAGGATGAGACAAGAGAGAGAATTGCTTGAGCCCAAGAATTTGAGGTTGCTATGAGCTGCGATGCCATGGCAGTCTACCAAGGGCGACACAGTGAGACTGTCTCAAAACAAAACAAATAAAAAATACTGCTCTTAAGTCGTGTCTTGCTTATCTTCCTCAACTGAAGTAATTATTTCTTTGTAAATTTTTACTTTGTTAAATCCAGCTCATATGCAATTATAGAGCACAGGGAAATGCTTTTTAATGGTATAGGTGTATGCTTATAATCACACTGTTAATTTCTAGGATTTATAACTATGCTTGATTTTACTTTGCCTGAAGCTATAATCTTCTCTGTAGTATATTTAATTCAATACAACTATTTCAATATCTAAACTCTTGAGTTTTTTTTTAAAGGCCTTCTTGGGACTGCAATCTAATGTAACGTCTTTGGAAAGAAGTATGGAGAATCCCCAGAGAATTCAAATTAGACCTCCCCTTTGATCCTACAATCCCATTACAAGGCATACCCAGAAGAAAAATAAAATCGTTTTATCATAAGGACATCTGTACTGGATTGTTTATCCCAGCTCAATTTTCAATCCCCCAAATGTGGAAACAAACTAAATGCTCACCCACCCAAGAATGGATTAACAAGCTGTGGTATATGTATACTATGGAATACTATTCAGCCATTAAAAAAGATGGAGACTTTACATCTTTTGTATTAAGCTGAATGGAGTTGAAACACATTCTTCTTAGTAAAGTATCGTAAGAATGGAAAAGCCGTACTTGCTTCCACAACACATATACTAAAATTGGAACGATACAAAGAAGATTAGCATGGCCCCTGTGCAAGGATGACACACAAATTCATGAAGCGTTCCATATTAAAAAAAAAAAAAGAATGGAAAAGCAAGAATCCAGTATACTCAATACTAATATGAAGCCAGTAGATGATCTAATACATGCCCACGTAAGAGAAAAACTCAGATTAATTCAAGGTGAGGTGGGGGCAGGGGAAAAAGGGAGTGGGGGAGAGGGAGTAAGGAGGGAGAAGGGTGTGCTCCCACTTAATGGGCACAATGTTAAGAGGTATGGCACACATTTTGGGAGCAGGACACAATTATATGAGAGACTCTACCTAAAAACGCAAACATTATAAACCTAATTCTTTGTATCCTTAAATTAACCTGAGACAATAAAAAAAGTTTATGCTATTATTATCAACCTATGATCAATCTGTAGATAAACAATACAGAATAAATTTCTTTCAATCCAAAGTAGCAATATGGGCTCTGAAGCCTTTTTTTAAAATGTCGGAATAGAGAAATTTTTATTGTACACTAAAATACAATCCACTGTATTCTACTCTGTAAATTTAAAAGAGAAGAAAGGAAAATGTAAGTTCTTAGTCACCTTTGAAAGGAAGGTATCTTCCCTTATATTTATAAAATTAATTCAATTAGACCTCTGTTTTATTCTGTACGAAACTTTGAGCATCTTTTCAAGTTAAGATAATTTTAACATTACTGTCAAGATTTATGGCAGCCCTACTTCTTTTAAATAATGCAGGTAGGAATGTGCAATTAAGTACTTTTATCTGCAAAACCACCAGAATACCAGGGATCAGATGGGGTGGCTCACACCTGTAATCCTAGCACTTTTGAAGGCCAAGGCAGGATAATTGCTTGAGCTCAGGAGTTCAAGACCAACCTGAACAAGAGCCAGACCCCATTGCTACTAAAATTAGAAAAACTAGCTGGGCATTGTGGCAGGTGCCTATAGTCCTAACTACTTGGGAGTCTGAGGTAAGAGGATTGCTTGAGCCCAGAAGTTTGAGGTTGCTGTGAGCTATGATGACACCACTGCTCTCTACTCAGGGCAAACAAAAACAAACAAACAATAAAAATCAATAAAACAGCATCAAAAACCCCAAAACAGAACACCAGAGTAGAAATGTTCCCCTTTGAAAAACAATCATCTCAAAAAAGCAACTTAATGAATGATAAGTTTATGACAAGTAAGCATAAGGTGATGAACACAAAGCAATTTGGTAGCTAAAGGATTTAGTGTATTTTCAAAATTTCCACACTAAAAGCTGGTATATCAAACTCAACAAGACAAACAGGCCACCATCCTTACAAATATAAATTGAGGAGAAAATAATAATAACTTAACTCTACCTAGTTATACTACAGAGTAGATTCTCCTGGTTTTAATTCAGTATTATATGGTAGATTTCACTTTTTAAAAATTCATTTATTTTTAAACAGAACTTAACTTTTCCTTTTTGAATAACATACAAAATTACTGTTTTTAAAAGGTGGCAAGGGTTTTCAATATTTGAGACAGAGTCTTACTATGTCGCTCTGGGTAGAGTGCCGTAGCATCACCGCTCACAGCACCCTCTAACTCTTAGGCTTAAATGATTCTCTTGCCTCAGCCTCCCAAGTAGCTGGGACT